TCTATCTATTGATATACTGCTCATTTAACCTATGAACTTTAAAGTAAATACTATTCATTTATGTTCCTTTTGTTCTGAAGACTTTGGTACATAGGCTAAATTATTTTTACTATACCCTAAACATAAGTTAAAATATTTTTTAGCCCATGTTTTGATTGGCTACATTCGATTTGGACTGCAAAGTGAGCAACAGTAGGTATTAGCATTAAGAAGTCACCAGAAAATGATTTAAGCCTTTTTCCGAACTGAGAGGGAGAGGAAAGGAAACAATCCAAGAGATCTTTCTGGCCTCTTTCTCCTCATTGCTCACAAAGTTGTCCTGCACTTTGTCTTCTTAGGGAATGTGGTGACTGAAGACGCTTTCTCCATAGTGCAAGGAACGGGGTGTGGGCTGCTCTTGTTGTCTTTGTGCAGTTTAGCAGATGTTTGGACTTTTCCTTATCACAGTTACCTATTCGGTGGAGTATGAAGGGGAGTACATCCGTTCCTCAGCATCTGCCAGGGATTAATCCCAAGACTCCGCGATGCTCAAATATAAAATATTGTAGTATTTGCATCTAACCTAGGCAATCATCCTGTATACTTTAAATCATCTCTAAATTAGTTATAAAACCCAATACAATGTAAATACTTTGTAAATAGTTCTTATGCTATACTGTGCAGGGAATAATAACAAGGAAAAAAGTCTTGACTTATTCAGTACAGACAGTGGTGGTGGGGAGGGGACATTTTCAACCCAAGGCTGGTTGAAGTGGTGTCTGTGGATAGGATAGGCTGATTATTCAAAAAAACATAGCTTGTGCATGGTGCATTTCTGATTCTCGAGAACTGGGGCCACCTGGACATGTCACAACATGAGGGGAATAAAGAAATCCAAACACCATCAAGTACCAGCATCTGGACTTTACCCTAGCTAAAGTCCACAAAATGGATATGTTGCTCCACAAACCCAGCATTAACTAACTGGGTCCATTTAATATGTAAAAGTTTCCATATTAGAATGGTCTGAGATGTGAATGAAAACCTCTAATATTAGAAGTGTTTATCATTTTCATATAAAACTAAAACACAACACTTAAACCTCAGAGATTCTAATACCTAATTCAAGTGAATTTTTAAACTTAGAAAAACTCCTTCTGATTTCTAGGCAATTCTTGGGTGATGCATAATACATGTAGACAGGGGAAGAAAAGGCTGGATAATCCCCCAAATTATCACCACACATCTCGCCAAGTAAATGAGAAGATTATTGTACTTTGTGTATTCTTTCTAAACAGAAATTCATAAAATGTTTAACAGAGAAAATGATCCTTTGGGGTACATTATTAATAAGTGCTGTAGATCAAAGATTGTCTGATGAAATTTTGACTGGAATGTATAAGAAGGCACAAAATAATGAATATAAAGGCAAATTTTGTATTAGAACTACATAGTGGAGAAACAGTCACATGAATATTTCATGTAGCAATGTATTTCCAACTTTTATTTTTCTGCTCACAAAATTAACATATACTTAAAGAGAGGAGTTTAGGACATATGGAGAGGAGAAAAAGAAGCAGAATTGATAAAAGGTAATGAACAATTCTCAATATTTCCATCTTCCTGATGGACTGTTGATATTGGAGCATAACTCTTTTCAGTTTTTATAGAGCCTGTATTTGCCAGAGATTATATCTATGTATAATTTTGTATTCTTTCCTTTGCATTCTATATCTTACCACAGACATTTCCTCAAAATAATGCAAACTAGCCGGGAATGGTGGCACAGTCCCACTATGTGGGTAGCTGAGGCAGGAGAATCCTCATGAATTCAAGGCCAGCCTGGGCTACATAAGTGAGTTCAAAACCAGCCAACACTACATAGTAAGACTCTGTCTCCAAAAAGAAAAATGCTTTCTAAACATGACATTTAATAATTGCATAGTAGTTGAAATCATTTATTTAAAATTTTTCCCCTAGAGGCTGGGGATTTAGCTCAGCGGCAAAAGCGCCTGCCTGGCAAGTGCAAGGTCGTGAGTTCGATTCCTGGTACTGGAGAAAAACCAAAAAAATAAATAAATAAATAAAAAATAAAATAAAATAAAAATTTTCCCCTATTCTAGATAAAGCAGTTTCTCTTTTGGGGGTCTTGCCCTTTTAAACAATTCTATAGCTAATAAATTTTTGTATAAATCTTTATTCTCATTTCTGATTATTTGCTTGTGCTAGATAGAAAAAGAAATAGGAGGTCAAAGAGGTTGAACATTTTTAAGTTATTTGATTGATATTGCTAAATCCTAAGTGATTTTATAGATGTGCATATTTTGGAGGACAGTGAATGTCTATCTCACCAAATGCTCAAGAAAAAGGTTACAGGCTTGTAGTCTTAATTAATTTTAGATTTTTCTAAAGAATCATTACATGTGGTACACAAAGATTTTCAAAAGTTGCAGCTAACCTATGTGTTGATTTGGTAATAGTAATACAAATGTAACTGTTATTTTATATCAGGAAATAATAATGACAATGAAAATCCCCATGAAGGACATGGTCAAGTGGATTTCAAATGTTTTTCTCAAATATATGAGGAGCCCTGGAAGGTACACTGTCTTGCCTGAGCCTAGCCACTTCCATAATTTAACCTGGGTATGGCAATCTTTTTCTTTAAACAACAGTGTTCTGTGTGTGCGTTGTGGAATGTTTGCACACTGGAGAATACTTGAGTGGAGGGAAAAAAACTCATGCACCGAAGATAACCATTACCTTTTGGGTTTTTTTGTTTTTGTGTTCTACTATCTGAAACGCTTCTTATTCGCACATGCTTGCAGTACATATGGATTACATTCCTCGTGGGGAGTTGGCGTGTGTGCATAATTCATCTTAATTTTTTCTGACTTCCTCTTCTCGTTCTCTTCCCTGCTGCCTCCATGTCTTGGTACCCTCCCATTTGGAATGTATCTGTCTCCCTGTTTCCTCAAGTGCAAAATAAAAGGTGGGTAATAATAGAAGGTATTACCTATTTGACATATATGTGCTCTTTTATTTTTCTAAGTATTTTATTACATTTTGTATTCTGTGTCTTTCCATTGGCCTAAAGCATGCACTTTCTCATGCTTTTGAAATTTTTCATAATTATTCACCTAATAGATCAATAATATCTCATTGCCATATATCACATATCAGCATTTATATAACATTATGATACACTTACTTATGTCCAAATATTATAATATTTATGTGATATATAAAGCTGTTTCTCAATGTATAGAATTCTTTCCATACTTTATTTCCTCAGTATAGATTTCCCAAAGTAGGGACAGTAGGCCAAAAAATGTTTAAATTCTCAGCTTCTTCATATTTTTAAGCAGCCTAACTTTTTCCGTGTGAAATAAGAGTCGTTGTCTCTAATTTATGGATGGAGAATCTTAGAAATAAAGATAAATCAGTGTCTATAAGGAAGCAAGTAAGTCAGTGGACAAAATGAGAGAGAAATGTCTAAACAGGATTTTGTCATCAAATAGATACTGGGATCTCTTTATGTATCTGAAATCAGACTATTAGGACAAGGGACAAGCTCACATAGTCTGGGGCAGAGTTTAGAGTGGGTTTCTGCTCACTGAGAACAAGTTTGTTGAAAGATTACTTTAACCATAAAGCAAAAGAAGAAACACTAATTATAACCATACTTCATGAAATATGCCAAAGGAGCTATATATATGAGCTATATATGAGCAAGAGAAAGTATACTTTATGAGGAAGCTATACATAAACACACACAGTTTAACACACATGCTTAGAGAAGTTATGATTCCTTAAGAATAGGCAAAGATCACAAAAATGGGCAAACAACATGGATGAACAATTTATAAAATAATGAAGTAATAAGCAAGACAAAATAGTTAGCCTTATTATAAATCAATAAAATACACAGGAAGTCAGCAGTAGGCATTTTTCCTTTGTCAAACTAGCAAACACATAAAGCATCCTCTTATCCGTGGTTGTTGGCAGTGTAAACTGAGAGACCTTTCTAAAGGGCAGTTCCTCAATGTGTGGTGAGATCTTTACATTCGCTCGGCTTCTGACCTAGCACTTTTATTTCTTATAACTTACAGCAAAGAAACAATGAAAGATTTGCAAAAACAGTGTAGCTGGTTGCTCGTTAAGACATTATTTATGAAAATGGAAAGTAGGAATAATTACATGATGGAGTATTATTAGCAATTGCAATATGTTTTGAATGAGTTATGAATGCCATAGGAAAATTTCTACAATACCATTCAGTTGAGCCATTTCAGTAACCATACTATAAACATAATTAGCTATTTATCTATCCAAAAACATTAATGGTTATTATCTCAAAATGAAATTATTTTATGATTTTAAACATTTTTCTTAATAATAAGAATAAAATGATTTACCAATTGAGAACTGTGAAAAGAAATACACAAGTTTTATTATAATTTCCTCTGGTTGGTTATAAAACATGACATATCTACTGGTATCTGTCATATGTTGTGCTAAGAAATGTTTGTTAGATATTTATTTATTCAAGGATTATTAAAGTAATGTTCAATAATAAAACTTCAGTGATCTTTATTATTCTCAGGTGGTGTGTATTGATAGGAAGTGAGGGGAGAATCCGGCTGCATTGCTCTTGTAAAAAAGATAAATGGTCTAAATCATCATGCTCAGCCCTCTTCCCACTGCACACCCCCTACCATACCCCAGCCCCCGAGGAACCAGCATTCCCAAAAGGTAAAGGGTCCCCAGCACAAGCTTCACTCTCCTTCAGAGACAGCTAGAGAATCCTGAACCTCTCTTGCTGGCCATAAGCCAAGGTCCCTGACAGCGTGTAGAGGTGCTGCCCTACGGTCGAGATAAGTCAGTCAGTGGATATCTCAGCAGAAACGGACTTGAGCGATCGCTTCACTAACTCCATCAGATCCTCAAAAAATTTCTATAATGGTGGAAAACATTTTATCATTTGATATTTCATTTCTCCTCTAAAAATTGATTTATACCAACTCCTGAGTCCATCAGAGGGAGAAAGAAATCTTCCCTACTTAAAGTCCCCTGGAGCATTGCTAGGACCCCTGTCACTATGGTCAGGAGCTGCCGTGCCCGCTCTTCCTCCCACCCTGGCCCGCCGGACAGAAACGGTGGAGCCCCTTCTGCTCTTGTTACAGCACACATGGGCATTACGCACAGTCCCACCCGCCTCTGCAGTCTAAGGCTTGTTTGGGGCTAAGTGACTTCTCTCCTTCTGCTGGAGCACACCGCCTAATTCTTAAATGGCAAAACAGTCACCCCTGCCCCCCGCAACCCGTCAGACATGCCTGAGTGTCAAGCAGTTTCCTCTGCTTGACAAAGCAAAGTCAAGCCCCTGGCGGTATAACTGAGCAGGCAAACTGGAGTGCAGAGCTGGGAGCAGATGGAAATGGAGCTCTAGTTACTTGGAAGCCTAGTATGCTGCAGAAACCAAGGGAGGAAAGCATCTTCGAAAGTGGGAATTAAAAAAAAAAAAAAATCCTTTGGGGCTGGGACTCAGTTCTTGACTTGTGTTCACAAGGCTCTGGGTTCAATCCCCAGCACCACCAAAAAAAAAAAAAAAAAAAAGAAAGGAGATGGGAGTTACTCACTGGGTCTAATGTTAAGAATTTGAGTCACTGTGGATTGAGAACTAACACCCTAACTACATCACTCAGGATGGAAGTTCCTGGGAATCTTGAGAGCAGTCTCTGAGGTCATGTGGCAGGGACAAAAGCCTGCCTGATGCTGTTTCCAGGAGAGAGAATCAAGAAAGTGGGGAAGCGCGTACCGGAAACTCAGCACAGCTTGTCTAAAACAATGGCACCCTAAAGGAAACTGCATTATCACGACCTCCCATCATCCCCTTGAGTGGTAGATAGTTTACAAATCTTGAATTTGGATCTTGGGGTAAAATGCAATGTCTACAACACTCTTCCTCTCACCTAAGAGAGGGGCAGAGCAGGTGTCTCCATCACGCTAATTCTCGGGGCTGGGATTTCATGGAGCAATCGGTTCCAGGGCAGAGGAGTCGGTTCTGGGGCGGAGGAGTGGGAGTGGGAGTGGGAGTTAGGATGTCCTCTTTGCATTTCCTGCCAAGATGGATAAAGGGCAGTATGAGGCACCAGTGTCTAAGCAAAGAACAAAACCACAACAGGGTCCTCACCACCACCAAGTAGATAAACCATGCAGTTATTCTTAAACACAAGAACATAAACAAAAATAAAAATACACAGAAATGCCATCAAATAACACATGCAAATTGTCTGTAGAAACCTGCAAATAAGTTTTAAAATGTGTTGTGAGGGCATTTGGCATTTTCTATGCAGGGCTTTCCTAACAGTTGCTGGTGATTGGATTTTCCTCAATCCCTGTGTCTAATTTCTTTGTAATATGTGGTCCCCTGCCAACCCCAGTGGCCAAAGATTATCTTTCTGTGAACCTTATGGTACGTGAGCAATAACCCGGAGTACTCAGGGCCGATGAACTGGAACCATGGGCTCCTTTCTAACAAGGGTGAATTATTATCACATCATTCCTGGTGATTAGATTATTTCTTATCATTGTGTTTTATAGCTTTCTAGTTAGTCATTGCAATACAATTTATTCACAATAATAGTGTTTCTTATTATTGCTGTTTTATAGTTCCTATAGCAGTAAAATTTATTCTCAACTCTATTATTACAATATTTGACTACTAATGGAATTCTTGTTTTTATTTGATTGTGTTTTAAAGCCATAACAATAAAATTTACTCCCAAAAATATCACTGCGTTTTATGCTCTTTAAACTACTTGCTAGCATGCCTACAAACACATGCGGTTCTTTAAGCCTGCCAAAACATAAACATTGTTCTAGGAAAAGAGGGGGCTGGGTCTTGTTACAGTGAGACTTGTGTTCTTTGATATAAGTAATGGAATGAAAGAAATGAGAGAATCTTAGAAATAACTGATTTGTAGGAGCACTACGTTCTAATTGGCAGAAATGTTTATCTTTTTTTTAAAAAGTCTCTTTTTACTACTTGCCAAGGCATACACATTTCCACTACCTTCATCCTCCAAAATGTTGAACTCTCAGAAAAATGTTCATGATTTCTCTGGACTCAAAGTTGCATGGCTGGCTGCCACATTAACTGGAGAAAGGCTGCTATGAAATGTTATTACCAAAGGCCAAGGCTATTCTGAGGCTGAACAACTTTAGTGACTTAAGAACTGGAAGGCACACAGCCAAGTCTGCTCCTTAGTTGCTGTCACTGACCCTGGACACAGGAAATTACAGTAAACCTCAGTGTGTACTGTTCACCTTTTATGCCTAGAACACTGCGTCAAAGGAACTAGAACATGAATTGCAATGCACCCAGAGGGTGACAGACTGGTAAGTTTTAAGAAAGAAGTATGTCAGACCAGCATCAATTAAGGTCTAGTTAAGGGCTTGGTCTCAAGTGAAAGAGTAACTTGTGGTCACTAGGAGGGAGAGTGGGAGGTTGGGTGCAGATATATGCTGGTTAATGCTCAGATTAGAGCCTCAGCAGCAGAGGAAGCAAAGTCTAGATTGGATTTCTGAGGCAGCACCAAGGACAGGTTCTTGTTCTGACAGAAGCTTCAACACATTGTTGCTATCGTCTAAAGCAATAAATGAATGGGTAGCTAGATGGATGCATGGAAGGACAGATGGATGGATGAATGCATGTGTGCATGCATGGGTGCACGGATCCATGAATGGGTGGATAGAACTTTGCCTGTGCTCTTATTAGATGCCCTACGTCCTTTGTGTGGCTCTACTAATGGAATTAGTAGAGCCACACTCACATATATAGGTAGATGTGCAGCTTGCTGAGATCATCTACCTCCCTTTACCCAGCTGTGGCAGCAGAGCAGGTGCACAACTCAGATGTTACTTTAAGAGAAAAACTGCTGCTCATCTCTTCAGAATCTTACTCAGTAATTCAAGCCAAGACTAAGTACTGGGCATTCCCACTCAGTGAATTAACACAGAAGTGGCCCAAGTGTTGAACACTATATCTATAGATGAATGATGCCTCTATGAGCAATCTTCTTGAAGGTGCACAGCAAGCTGAAGTCCTTCCCACCCAATTCTCCCTTTCCCCCTCCTCTTTTCACAGCTGTCTGACTGGGATCATGGATGGAAGGTTCTCGTCTTCTTATTATTCCTCTGCCCTTTCTCTTTTGCAAGAATTATACCCCCAGAATTTTACACTTTTAACTCTGTCATGTTATCTGCTTCTCAAATGATCCAGCCAATACACCAGGCAGACTCCAGGACCAATAGAAATAAGTTAATTCATCTGAGTCACAGGGATCTTTATGGACTTCATGCATAATTAAATGCAGAAACAGTCCTCATGTTTGGAAATAACAGGGCAGTCCTATGTGACCCAGCATCATCAAGTTTTCGAAACACAGCCGACAGGCTACGGAAAGTCACATGCTAGCTAACACACCAAACTAGTTGGCTTAGAAGAGAAAAGGAAAAGGCATTTTCTTTAGCACTGCTTGCTTGCCCTGTCTAATCTCACAGATGTGTGGTAAGAGTGGAGTCTTCAACTTTTTAGTGAAGATAAACTGCCTATTCCCTAGCATTAAAGTAGCTCCCATTTGGGTCATCAGGGGAAGAAAGGAAGCAAGAAAGAAGAACATGTTCTGTAGTGTCAAGAATGGAGGTGGCAGGGTATATTAGCTTTCCACTGCTGGGACACGGTGCTTGATAGAGCAACTTAATGGAGGAGAGATTTAATCTAACTCAAATTTGAGAGGTTTCAATCTATCATCAGCTGGCTCTAAGATACGGAGGTAGAGATATCATGGTATAAGAGCATCATAGAGTAAAGCTGTTTAATTCATGGCACTAGAGGAACATAAAGCAGAAAAGGAAAGGGCAAGGGACCATGTCATGCCTCTATGACCCACTTCCTCCAACTAGGACCCCTCCCAATAGCCTAAATATCTATGAATTTATCAATAGGTTAACTCACTGATAAAGTTAGTGCCCTTGTAATGCCATTCCAGTCATGCTGCCCTATCAAGATTAACCAGCACAGACGAGCAGGAGGCTGAGGAGAGCCTTGAGAGGAGCTTGGCTTTCCCATAGAACCCTCATGAATATGCCTGGACAAGGAGGGGAGACAGAGCCATGGAGGAAGAGGGAAATCGCCTTGGGAGTTACCACTGGATCCATTTCTATCTCTTCCAATTGGACAATATTTCATTCAGCATCAGCCACTAATTAGTCTTCAAGGAACATTTCTGATATACCCCCTAAAGGTCATCACCCTGGGAAACGTGATAAAGAAAGTTCTCAATATTACAGACTATGGAATTCATTGCTGGAATTTCAGCGTGTTATTAGTGAAGAATAGTGGGTTAAAAATCAGATGTCTTGGGTTCTTATTCTGGTTCCACTGTTTATCACCTATGCAGTTTAGGGCAAATATCACCTGT